CTCCAAAAACACTAAAAAAACAATGCCAGGTGTGACAGAGCACTGTGTACACACACAATGTGCAAGTGTGTGTGTGTGTGTGTGTGTGTGTGTGTGTGTGCATGTGTGGTCGCTGAAGGTGAAAGAACATCCAAATGTGCACCATTTAATCAAGGCTTTTAGATGGTAGACTCCATATTTCAGATCCATCTCTCTTTCTTGTTTAAAGGAATATTCTGCAAAAAAACGAATTCACACAATTTCCTCTTCAATCCAAACTTCACTCCAAACGATCAGCCAAGACATGTTTGATGTGTAAAGTTGGCTTTTTAAGCTTTGCACTGGATCAACGAGACTAAAATAGCTAATAAGTAAGAAAGCTAAGAACTCACTGACTGGCACTGTGCAAACTGCTTGCCTAAATCATCACACGCTTGCCAGTGGTGCAACTAGATTAAACTAAATTATTTTTAATCTATTTATCTATCTATCCAATGATTAGCACATATTTACTTTTTGAACTAGCAGTACCACACTGTATCCTTAATAATATCCAGACTGGTAAAAAAAATAGTACCTCAGTAACTTTAGCTATATTACCACAGAAAACAAAACAAAGTGCAAAGTATGTGACATAAAAATAAATGGAAAAACACAACAAACCTCAACAGACATCTGAGTGCCCACCACCCAGAAATGTAAAAAAAGCTAAACTAATGTTACCTTAAGATTTATCAAGGTAGGCTGTACACACAACATAACATAACATTAACAATGTTAAATTTGATTTTAGTTTGGGGTATGTGCAGCTTACTATTTCTAGCTTAGGTGTTTAGGTTATATTTACATTTACATTCACATTTACAGCATTTGGCAGACGATCTTATCCAGAGCGACTTACAATTTAATCATTTTACACAGGTAGGCAAAGGTAGTGTTAGGAGTCTTGCCCAAGGACTCTTGATGGTATAGTGTAGGGTGCTCCTAAAACTTGAACTGATGACAATGAACCTACAAAAATGAGCGCAACATTAAACTTTGACAACAGCAAGCGACAATGAGTCAAACACTGTTAGCTGATCAGCTAATGTTGTTTTTGTTTTTTTTGTTTTTTTTTGTTTGTAAATAATAAACCAGCTCAATTTTTTATACCTCTGTCAATGTTAACTAGATGCATGGCTGGCTATGTATGGTGGCCAAAGCAAAGCCCATTATCCTGAAAACAAAAGCCCACTGCTCCGAAAGTACCCGCTACCTTGAAGAAGCTGAAGGCAGCTTCTTATTCGTCAGCTTCTTTATATTAGCCAGTTCCACTTTAAATGGTGCAGCAGTTAAATTCTGGCGCCCCAGCATATTGGCCAGCTTCTTGTTCAAATTCTTCTGTTCCACCTTAAATGGTGCAGTAATTACATTCTTTAGTTCAAATTTGCAAGAAGCTGGAGAATAGGAAGCTAACTTCAGCCTCGTCCGCCTCGATAATCCACCTGCACACAGACCACAAAGTATGAATGTGAGCACTCGAACTCTGAAATTACTTAAAACGCCCATCCCTACTAGTGGCCGTGATAAATTAGTTAAGGTTAGCTAACCTTAACCAAAGCTCAATGCTTACTTGTTCAGGGGTATCTGTCTTCCTTGTGGGCTTTAAGTTCATATTTTAAGCACATATTTTTAGTACTCGCCAATACCGGGTCCGACACCTACTTAGAATTAAGTAGTTACTAGTGTAAATGAGTGCAATATACCTTAACAGTTAATTCATCTAGCTGACTTTAAATGATGTGAATTAGCAAGCTATGCTACATTAGTAACCTTGAATTGAGCAGCACTGCAGTGGAGAAGAGTGGGTTTCGTTGCTCATCAGAAAAGCACTTCCATACAGCTCCAAGTAAAGCATGTTTCTTAGTTTTGATGCTCCATGTCGGTTTCTTTGAGCAAATTTCTGTAGCACAGTGACAGAGTCGGTAACACTTCTCTGTGTGAGCAGAGCCTCCTTCACTGAGTTTGGTCATTAGCGCAGCAGTGTACACTCAGCTTACATCACAGCTGGTATTGAAATGTTGGTATCGGTTGGTGCGAGTACATGAGCACAGTATCAGACCGATTCCCGATACTGGTATTGGTATTGATGCATCCCTAGCCAAAACACAAACGTTCCGCTCCAGAACTGAAAATGTCAAAGAACATACTGGCTGTAGTACTGTTGTCTGAGAAGTCAGTATTTCAACTTAGCATGTTGCCCTAATTTCAGATTAAGGAAAAAGAAGACCATGATAATATATCATGGACATTTTATGATTTACTACAGTAAATATATTACATACTTTCCTCTAAGTGTAAGTTAACATTAATTTGAGCAACAAGGATTGGCACTGTCAATAGTACACAGGAGAAATTTGCCTTTATGGACTCCTGCCAAAAAGCCTTTCTAGCGAAATCTAACCCCTGTCTTCTTTGCCTAACCCTAACCGCTTATGGCAGAAAGTCCTGCAGGCCAACTTCTCCTGTTTGCCAGTTAATACAAGCAGCTAGCCAGCAGATTCGGATTTTACAGCGGATGAATCCGCGGATGTGCTTTTAACATGGGCATCCAATGCAAATTTTTTGAACGGCTTTCTTAGAAGCTTCAAATATTCGCTGATGAATACTGCCAAAGCTCCAGAGCCCAAAAACATTATTCAGGACAGCCCTAGTATGTACATAATACATAGTACATAGTATCTGTTCATTAGACAAACATCATATCAGTGAAATTATCAGTATATTAAGGTTAAATAAATGCAAAATGTATTTGAAGAAAAAGCTGGCCTTACTCCTTCCATAATTTTGGATGTTAATGTGTTATTAAATGTAACAGAACTTTCAAGCCTATGTTTAAAAAAGCTAGTAAAAAATAATCTCTCTAAAGTAGCAAAACCCCTAAAAATGCATGACTAAAATTTGTATTTTAAAAATTTTATTAACTAAATCTAAACTAACATGTTTTTGTTGACAAAATAACAACAGTAAAATGACTAAAATGTGACTAAATGTAATTTACATTTTAGTCAAAAGACCAAGACTAAAACAAAACAAAACAAGATGCCAAAATTACCACTGCAGTGTATTTTGCTTGTTTACTTACTATTGCTGTTTCAAACAAGTAAACTCTCTCAAGGCATGCCAGTCTACCCACTAGTACTCCAACATTTATCTAAATGTTTATGTTTGACTCTTTATTTAAGATTTTAAAATGATAAAGAATGAATGCATCATGTTTGCAGGTTCTGAAAAATCAGTTTGAAAACAGTACTCTGAGAAGCATTATGAAAAAGAAGTTGTCTAAATCCCAGCAAACACACAACATTGTCACGTTGTCAAAAGGTGGTGTTCTCTACGTTGTCTGAATAAGGTCATCACAACGTTGTCACAACCTTATTGTTAAGTAATGTTGCCAAACGGTGTTACAACCACCTGTTGGCAATTTAGCAAAATTCCACGGAGTTCCATTCCCAACATAATGGACCTTATGAGGATTCCAGGAGGTTGTGAAAAAAAATTTGACAACATTGCCACTACACTGTCACAATGTTGTCAATAACGCTGTCACAATTTTCTGAGGAATTAATTTCAATGTTGTGACAACGTTGTGGGCACCACAACAATAGGCTCTCACAATGTTATCACAACATAACTGTGTTTGCAGGAATAGTGCTGATGGAAGCTAACTGGCGAGATATATTGGTAAGAATCTGGATCTTTCTGTCAGTTATAGGTGTACACCTGAGCCAGTATGTATACAAGGGGCCCAATAAAGATTTCAGGGGACCTGTTCGCCATAGGCACCCCCCCCCCGATCAGTTACGCTACTGCCGCATACTGAGTCAAGCTGTAATCACAAATAGACTCGTTGAGAGGCGCACATGTAGTTGCAGGTGTCCTAAGCCTGAATGTTGAATGCTTTTATATAAATATATATACAGATAGCAGTATACAGCATCAGAAACAACATAACCAATCTATTCCATTGCTCCTTCACTCCAAATTATTCCTTTAAAATCTCTCCCACACACACTGAAGGAAGCAGCTGTCAGGTTCTCTCTCTCTCTCCCCTCAGCTCGATGCACAGGCTGTGGGAAAGGGTCCATATAGGGGAGAGGAGGGGCTGCCCAGATATGGAAAGGGTTTACTGTGTACACACCACAGCCAAAAGACTTTGTAACACAGCCTGTGTGTGTTTTAAATGCATGCGTCCATGTGTGTGCATGAGAGAGAGAGAGACAGAGAGAGAGAGGGGGGTCTATATATATTCCCATTTCACAAAGAATATTAATGACTGTCCAAGAATGTGGAAGGGAGTCAAGAGTGTGTGTGTGTCAGAGAGAGCGAGAGCGAGAGAGAGAGAGAGAGAGAGAGTAACAAAGAATGAAAGAAAGAAAGAAAGAAAGAAAGAAAGAAAGAGAGAGATTGCATGTGTTCTTTGAACAGCGAACAAAGTGAAAATAATGTGCGGATATGAGACATTATCTTTGCCTACGCTTTGATCCTGATGTCCTCTCTGTGATTTAGCCTGGGCAAAGGGGTTACATGAGCACTGCTTTGTTCTCTCTGTCACACACTCAGTTTCTTGCTTTCACTCTCTCTCCCTCTATCTCAGTTTGTAGTGGGTGTCTGAGCATAGTTGAGTGATTAGGCAGGAATTATCAGTCTTTAACACTCTAGTCTTGTGGCCAAACTTCCATTAAATCATAGACAGTAAAAGCAAACAAACGACACTGACGCAACCACTCAGCCACACTATCACACAACGCCCCTCTTTCACTCTCTTTCTTGCTCCCTCACAAACACGCGATTTATCATGTTATCAGTGTTACAGTATTTCCATGCTTAGCCTTTGCCTTTTATCAAAGGTAAATTAATTTCTACCAGTACACATATGAGGAAGTAGGATGTAGTTATTGTTCTCAGAAACTTCATCACCCAGGTAACTAAACAGAGTATAGTTCTCTATGCTAAAATCAGTTCCTTTCTCTTATCAGCAGGAGTGAGCAGAAAGGCACAATGCACTGACCCTGCAGTCACCAGAAGATGGCGCCAAAGTCTGACCTGATAAAATGGAATCTGCTGAGGGCATGTGGATTCAGAGAAGATGGAAGAACACAGAGGACATTGGTTCACATTTGAGAAGAATTACAAATTTTCATCATTTGCATCATTTTAATACTCTAACACTCTGTGTGAAAAATTAGAAATGTCAAAATACTCACCAATACAGCAAATAGCCGTTGCTAATGTTGCAGCAGCCGAGCATCATTCATTAAAACTAAAATTACTTTTTCCTCTGCTCGCGCTCACACACCCAAACGATCATTTGAAGAACACCAACTGGTCTCCAGACACAATTTTCAGAATATACAATGTGAACGAGGCTACATGGTACATGTGTAGCAAACCAGCTGTTGTGCAATATGTTTAAGACATTCACCTAACACATTAAAACCAGCTCACTGACTCTCCTCTCACACACACTCAGAGTGTGAGAATGTTTTCTCAAATAGCATTAGGTGTGACTCTATCTCTCCTCATCTTGCTAACGGTGTGTGGGAACGTGCTGGTGTGTCTGGCCGTCTTCGCCACTCGGCGCCTGCGTAGTGTCACTAACTGTTTCATCGTATCTCTGGCCGTTACTGATCTCCTGTTGGGCATTCTCGTTCTGCCTTTTTCCACCCTCCTGGAGGTCACTGGAGACTGGCCGCTGGGAGCTCACTTCTGCAACATCTACATCTCACTGGATGTCATGCTGAGCACCGCCTCCATCCTTAACCTGCTGGCCATTAGCGTGGATCGCTACTTTGCGGTAACGGCGCCCCTGCGCTACCCGACCCTGTTGCTGCCATGGCGCGTAGGGGCCTCCTTGGCGGCGATTTGGCTCATATCAGTGGGTGTGTCTTTTGTGCCCATTCACCTGGGATGGAACACAGTGGACCACACAGTGCAGAATCATGGCGAGAATGACTCAGCCCAAGAGTGTCGCTTTGAACTGAATCCCACCTATGTGGTAGTGGATGCTTTTGCCACTTTTTACCTCCCCCTGGTGGCCATGTGCTGGATGTACCACAGGGTGTTCCGCATTGCACGTGCACAGGCCAAACGCATTGTCTCCACGCGGCGCGGGCCCAATGCTGCCTTCAATTCTTCATCATTACCAGGAGTGACGGCATTAGCACTGCGCGAGCACAAAGCTACAGTGACATTAGCAGTGGTGCTGGGTGCCTTTGTTATTTGCTGGTTTCCGTATTTTACATTTTTCACCATTATGGGGATACAAAAAGTGAACAATCTCCCAAGGACAGCTTACTCAGTGGTGTTGTGGCTAGGCTACGCTAACTCTGTTCTGAACCCCCTTCTCTATGCAGCCCTCAACAGAGACTTCAGGTCAGCTTATGGCAGGCTGCTGTGTGGAGGGAGGGAGATTAAAACACCCACGGGAACGCCCTCTGCAGCTGTGGAGGTGGGGCTGATGGATGGACACATCCCTGCATGCAGCAGGGTGGAGCTTATGTCTGGGGGCTGTATAATGCTGCAGGACATGAACACAGGGAGGAGGGATGGTAGCAATGGGACAGCTGTTACCATGGTTACTGTCCTGTCCAATGGCCATAAAAGGTACTGGAGGCACAAAACTATAGACCTCTAAGGTTGTGCAACACGCCCAAATAGGGAACTAAACCAATGCTACCACACAAAAATGTTCCAAAGCTGATGTTTTGTCCTATCTACACTTTGTCTCTAGGTCCGCTACATTACAAGGTTGTTAACCAGTCGTAATAAGAATATTGCTACACACATGCAGCAAGCAAGCTACTAAGTTTCCTGTAGGTAAAATTGTGTTAGACTAGGTCTTGTCCAATGCTAATGGTTAAATTACACAATAGCAACAACTCCTCAGAGTGTGCAAGTATTTTGAGAATGTAATAAACATTAAACTGGAAAAAAATGTAAGTGAAATTATCTTATAACTAATCTACTCCATGCATGTAATGTTTCTCATTAAAAGACTGTTGTAAGATTATTATATGGTTATTATATTTATTTATTTATTGACATTTAATTTCATCTCATTCCACTGGCAAATCATTGTTTCAAGCATCATTTCTTGAGAAATATTACATATATTGACTAGATTTAATATGTTTCACTTTACTATCACTTTTTTCAATAAAGTTTCACAGTACACTACGTAAACACTAAATTTAGTAGTAAAATTGATTTTACATTTATCATAGAATCTTTATAACTCCAACCTCCTTCTCTTTCTCTCACACTCTGTTAGTTCATAATGTCTTGAAAAAGGCTGGATGCTACATCTGTCTCCTTGGAAACAGCCCCTGACTTGAGCTCGATCCCATGTCCTAACAGTGATCCCCCAGCAGGAATGGGTAATAAAGACAGGTAACTAAAATTAAATGAATGTGTAATGTCTGAATAAACAAATTAAAGAGTAAAACAATTAGTTCTGCTGTGGAAAGGGTAATTTGAGATTGATTCTTTTTCCTTTGTCTGTTGTAGGGGCTTTCCAAAATCGCCACAATATAAGGAGATGTTTTGTCAACTGAGCCAATGACCACCTAAAATCACAAATCAGCATCAAGTGGGAAGAATGATAAAGAGTACTAGGTCCTACCAGATCAAGTGGAGAAAGACAACTGTATGAAAAATGAAGGCTACTTGAAAAAAAAAACATCTAAAAATTACATTTGGACTGGCTTTTGCAGGCTAGACTGACCAAGAAATTAGCACCATTAATTATAAAAGTGCTGGAATGCTGTTTGTGCTCATTACTGCCCTCTATTGGTCACTAGATGTGCCACAACCAAAATGTGAATATGTAGACTCAAGAGTACAGGCATGTACTACAAAAATGGAATCATGTTACACTGGATGGCTTATTCTTGTGAACTCTTAAATGGATAATGTCTAAATCATTTTAGTGCAGAACATATTTAAACACAAAGTATTCTGACACTGTAGGAATTAGGGATGTCCGAACCAGTGGATTGGAATTGGGCCGATGCAGACATACTTTAGTGGACCACATATCGGTCACATTAAATCCGATCCACTTATGAGCCTTTGTTTCTTTCTTTTGCTTTTTATGTATTACGGCCACAGTATACTAGTTTTTAACTATGCATATGTGTGCGCAAGATGGATGTCCCACATATATGCTTCATTCATTTAAAGTATAGGTTTTGCACATCCTCAAGATGCAATACCAACATAAATGGAGAAAGCCACGTGATGCTATGCCACAGTGTGATGTGCTGTCAACAGCACACCGAACAAACTATGACAACAGTCACTTCTGCTATATGCTTTTGCAGTGAAACATAATATGGTCTTCTCACCTGTCAGCTGTTGCCATGCTAATAATTGATTTTCCTGTGCTAAAACAGAAGTAATCAAGAAGGCATTCTTGTGCTGGCCTCGTAGTGGACATAGTTTTTATTTCTCCAGACAAACAAAAGGTATGCAGACTAGTATGAGAACAATGAGAAAGTAGCTGCTATGGATGCACACATATGTTTAAAATCAAGTGTTTGACGGTCCTAAGAGCAATTTGAATTCATAGCACATCCAGAACACTATAAATTGGTTATTTCACCTGAGCAGTCCAGTTCAGAGTGATTTCCATTATGCATATATCAAAAATGAAGTGAATTTACTGCAGCATTTTAAAGTAAATGGAAAACCCAAAATATTAATTCTGACTGTCACATTAGCACTTAGAATGTGGAAACTTTAGCATAGCATTAATTGGCAGCGTAGAATATTGTCCCTGTCCAATGAAAACAAGTTTCTCCAAAATATTAACTTTAAAGGAGAAGGCAAAAACACTCTCCCTTTCAGCACGAATAAATTTTATTCCAAGTGATTTTAGAGCATTTCTATCCATTCATCATTCATTCAGACAATATAAAGGACAGCTGGTCTGTTGAAAGAAAAAGAAAAATCGCCAAAAATGGAGATACATGGTTTTCTTTGGACAGCAACGATATATTACCTAAATTGTGTGGCTGTATTCTCTATGAAAACACAAAGATCGGCTCAGATTGCTACTGGTCGATACTGAAAAGTACTCCATTTAAATCTGCAGGCAAAAAACTGGATCAGGACATCCCTAGTAGGAATAAATGTGTATTTGCTTGAATTTATGGTGTTTGATGTTGACTATAAGAAGACTAACATTTTGGTACAATGCAGAAACACACAGTCAAGTAAGAAAGAAAGAAAATTGCATGGATCATCTGTGAAACTGGTTAAGCTGTATTCCCAATCCATTTTTTTCGTGGCTCTTTGACATCACCAACCCAGTCCACTTTTTCTTGTTAACTTCTTTCTTTCTTTCTTTTTTTGATGACCCACAGCACATTAAAATCATTCATCACTGCCTCTTTACCATCAAATTATCAAAAACTAGCACACTTACACACACACACACATACACACACACATTCTTCAATAACACAGACGTTTCATGGTCTCTACAAAACCTATCCATCATCAACATTTGTCATCAAAACATCAAGAAATAAATGTGGTGAATGTGAAAGCACACACCGTCGCACACACACACCAGTGTTCACATGAACATGCACACACATACACTAAAGCTCCACAATCCTGCCCTCAGGAGATAAAAAAGTAAAAGAGGAAGAGGATGAAGAGGAAGATAATAAAGGGGCAGTAGATACAGAGTGTGTGGGTAGGGGAAAAAGAACATAAGAAAGAGTGAATATGGGAATCATGAGAACGACTGAGAAGCACAGGTGGTTTCTGCAGGAATCAGTATCTGTAATCAGTTACTGGGAGTAAACTTGAATGCAGAGATGAGTGTGTGTAGACAGGAGCGGAATAAAAATGTGTAGACGCAGACTTTCCACCGTTCTTGTATGTTGCTACACCAACACAACAAAAATCATAATCTGATTTGTTACAATAAAGTGGGCTCTATACATACAGCTAAAAATATGAAATAGCTGAAACTGTTTGTTAATGTCATTGTTTCAATTTTCAGTTTGCTAAAGCATTGAACATCGTAAAGATATAATTTGAGACTTTAGAATGGCACAGCTGATGTTTGCCTGATCCATTCAGACTGCTTTCTTGCCAGTTTATTTTCAGAGGAAGAACAGTCTGCCCTTGTTGTGGGTTTATTTATTTTTTATTGCACCTCACACAATGTAAGCAGAATTAAATTGAGTACATTATTTGATCCAATCTGTTGAATGTACTGTTCGATGCCTCCTGCGTATCAAATCAAGAGCCTCATCTTGAATGATACAGTATGATACGCTGTACTGTTATACCCCTACTAGAAGCTGTCATAGAATAGAGTAGTATATTCATAATTTTTAACTGAAAAAAGAAGGGAATATTATACATGCTCTTATTCTGTGCAATGTACATATTACTTTATCAGTCTTTTTATATTATGTATTTTATTATGATGTGTAATTTACTGTCTTAAAAATATCTTTCAAGTAATGCACTCGTAGGGCTCTAACAACGCAGCATATCATACTGTATCATGTGAGACGAGGCTCTTGATACACAAGGGCATCAAATGCATTCAACAGACTGGAGCAAACAAATCTGGGGATTGTAAAATTTTTTAAAAAATGATAAGAAAAGAAAATCACAGAACTTGCCACACAGCACAAAACAGCAAAACCAATTAGGCCAAACCAAGTGTGTTCAATTTAGCACAATTAACCCATGTGCTGATCAGCCATTTAACACTGATTAACCAAATTAGCAGAAAATGTTTGTTTTACGGAAAGTACAAAATAATGACATGATTACCTGCTGTTGTGCTCTTCAGTGTTAATCGCTTAAATCATTAGTAAGATAATTAACAATTAATGCCTATTCAATTGTGAATTATTATAAAAAGTGTGAACATTTGTGAGGTCACTGATGGTCCAAACTGCTGGGGTAAAGTCATAATTCAACACCCCTCAATTAAATCAACTGCTAATCTCTCATCTATAAACAAAAAAATAACATCTAAAAGGAGTATTAAAAAGATTTAGGAAGATATCAGTAGAGAATAAAGTAGCAAGATTAACATTATCTTGAAATCAAGTCTCTACTGGAATTTCCATCACTGTAACCCAAAATGGGCAAAGACTCCAAAGATCAGTATTGTTCCAAGTGAGTCCATCCAAAACAACCATTCTGTTTCTCTCCCACCCCCACCAAAACCCTTCTCTTTCTCTCTGCTCCTCTTTCCTTATGCATTGTGATGGAATTTAATATGCAACTTTTGTTATTGAATAACAGTCACATGTGTCTGGGCACATGCTGGTCGTAATATCTCTGGCAGCGCAGGTAATGCGATAGAGGCAGCAAGGCCTATTCATCACTCTGGCCGCCCGCAATACGCTTTATTATTTTAATACATTTCTCAGCAATTAAAAATGATAGATTGCTGCTAGTGTTTTTATCCAGTATGTACGGGGTACAGTGGGTGGTCACTTAAAACTTCAATTACTGGCATGAGAGTGTAGCAAGAGAGTCAACTACTTCTTTTGTCTCTCTCGCACACACATGCAATGTACAGGATAAAAAACACCAATAGGGTACAGTTTCAGTCCTGTTGACACAGGTAATTGTATGACAGCCTCTTTGAAAATTAAAACAGCACAGCACCTCCCACCTGCAGTAATCAGAAATGTTACTTATGTTAATTAGGACAGTTAACGAGCATTGCATTAAAGCTGATGGCAATTAATTTGTGATTAAGCGCAATTAGTTCAGAAACACATCAGCGCAAGCTCACCCCAGCACACTCACAGGCATGGGAAGATGAGGTTAGTATCTTAAAGACACAGACAGCAGCATGACTAACAACAAAAAATCCTGATCAGGGCTTGACAGGACTGTGGACAACAAATACACGTTTTACTTGACCAAAGACCAAAATCACTTGTCCACGGAAAAAAGGTCAAAGCAACTTTGCATAGGAAAAGTTACAATTAACAATGAACAATGTATAATGCGTGAGAAAAGCAGGCAGAAAAAATTATTTCTTACAGCTCTTCTGATTCAGGCGAGAGAGAGTGAGAGAGATACTTTAGTCTAATTGATTTAAATGGTGTTACTTTCTCAGTTTTTTACAACCATCTTGTCACTAAACCTCAGTAAGAATTCTCTCTCTCTCTCCTCTGTCTATCCCTCACATACACCGACATGAACATACTGTGTTCTTACCACTTATTTCAGAAAACTATCTTTACATTTTTTATCGTCATTGTACACCTTGTAACTATGTGCTACTTAGAGGTGTATCTGAATTGCACTCCAGCTTAAGCGCGTGACATTACAGTGAGATTTAGTATGAGTATGTTTGTACATGCCACCTAGTTACTCTAAATAATTATGAGATATTTGACTTAACCAGTTTAATAGCTAGAACCTGTTATTTTAGTGTAATCTAGTTGACTTTCTTAGTACTTAGCATCCTTTTACCCAAAGCAGTTGCACAACGTTGTGGAGTTTCTACCTCATTTACCACGTTAACCCAGTTACTATCTAAATATTTGTTGTGCATTTCATTGTAATTTAGTTTAGTAGTCTCAGAAGTTTATAGTTGCCTGGTTAATACATAAAACTTAGGGGACTGTAAAAAAAACATAATTACCATTACTTTGGCAGCTAACATAGCTACTTACATCTCTGCCAAAATGGGGTGCAGTATTGTAAAACTTCCCTTGCTCTTCATTACAGCGCACTCAGTCAAATTCATACCTCCAAGTGGTAATAAATTCATGTTCCGTCTTAGACTCATACATGTTAGCGTTAGCCCATG